AACACCCGTGAGACGGATGTGTGGGACACATTAAACCGACGACCAATTCTTCGGTATCTCCAACCTTCTTCCGACAGTATTACTGCTTGGGCACATTCATCTCGGGTTAAATTACATGATTGACGCTCCATAATAAACACAATTAACAATAATCAACAATTAAACAGTAGCCGAATAAAATTCGTGAACACTTGGAAATTAGTATATTTATAGAACTCGTACATTTTTGCTTCTTTTTGTTTTGTTGCAAAAAAAACTATAGCGATAAAACATTCTTCTTCTAGTTCCATGACCGTTATCGATCGTTGGATATCATGTTGGCTACCACATTCGCTATCGTGACTCTATTGACAGCAGCTCTAAATAACGATGTAGTTGATTTTCCATACCATTGCCTTAGATTTTTCAGCCATGATGTTCTTCGTCTACCAGGACCACGATTACCTTGGATCTTTCCCTGAATAATTAGATGTAAAAGATCATATTTTTCAGGGTGTCTCATAATGTGACCGAAGTATTCCAGCTTGCGTTTCTTTATTATATTGACCAGTTGTGTGAGATACACGAGTTTCTCTACTCTGTCCAGTGTGGCATCTCCGACTTTTATACCGTCATCCTGTATATAATTTGGTTTGCTAACTATCATATATTTAGTTTTCTTAATGTTGAGTTTTAATCCATACTGATCACAAGTCTGTTTTATTTTGTTCATTAGATTTTGAAGGTCTTCTCCGCAATTGGCAGGATAAAACATAGTCAATAAATATAGAGTGTACGAATAGCCTATACAAGGGGCTTGCAAAATATAAAATTACAATGGAAATTTTTTATTAACGATAATAAAATATTTAAATATTTCAAAGTGGTGCGTTAATTTCTTGGAGAAGTGTAATTGATTCATAACATTGTTCCAGCTATTATAAAAAGTACATATCGAACTAAATATATAAAAATATTTAGCTAAAAATGTAAAAAAGTAATAGGTTGTTTATCGATTCAAATTTTGTTTTATTTCTCCTGAAAAATATAGCTTTTTGACTTAATTTCCTTTTCCCCTGTACCCTTTAAATATCATTATTTGATTTGGGACAATACCTAAATCCACTAATAACCCAAGTATTCATGCCAAATTTTTTTATAATCTTTCGTGGTTGTACGTTGTTTGTATATTAAAATAGATAAATTCTACGAATGTTTGTCAACAGATAATTAAAAATAATCCATTTAGCAGAAAACCTTTTTTATTACGATGTGCGAAAATGTATAGGTAAGGCGCCAGAAGCAAAGCAAAAGCTACAAGAACAAGCTTAAAATTGATTAAATTTCAGTAACGATAAATAATTAAATCTGAATATCTTCAATAAAATATACAAATAATTAATAACAGTAATAAAATAACTATACTTACTGATAAGAAATACTTAGGATCTCAAAGTTACTTGGTAAGGTATACAGGTTGAACAGTATAATAATCTACTTTGTTTTAAATTCTTAAAGCAACAGATAAGTTTTTCATACATTAATGTTTCAGATCTTCAGTTTTTTGTGAGACTGGTAAAACAAAACTAACAATAATATAACAAAACAACAGAAATGAATAAAAATATAAGAAGAAAAAGCAGATCGAGTGAAACAAACGGCGAAAGAAAAGAGACTACCAGGAAAATCAATAAAAAATAAACATGAAATAAGGACATAGAACGCCATACTGAAAATCTGAAACCTCTAGTAGGTAACAAAAAATCAATGTAATCAATAAATCTGTCATAATGGATAAGATATTATAAAATATAAGTTACAGAGGAGATGAAAAGTAAAAATTTAGAAAGAAGCAACTATAAATAAAAGACAAGACAAAAATACAAATTTTTAGTATATGAAACTTTAGGATAAAGGAGAAGTATATGTAATTTAAGAATGAAGAAAATGTAAAGATAGAGGATGAAAAAGAACAAAAAATCTAGAAAAAATAATAAGTAATAATTATTTTTTCTGTTTTAGTTTGATTGGTTTTGAATATGCTTTAAGAAAATGTTTATAACTTGTAATATCATACACATACAGCATTAACAGTTATATATACGTATATACAATTACCCAAAAGCACATTTGTATAAAAAATATTTTTTTTATATTTTTGTATTGAAAACTATCTAGAAAAATCACAATTTTTATCAAAATAGTTTTCTCATAAGCACCGTGACTAATACAGAAGCGGAGGTAAATGTTTTTCTTTTACGCAAACTAGAAGAATGGCCTAACAAAGTAAAAATTTTCCGTATATTGACCAAGTCGTGAAATCAAATAACATTTTCCCAGATCTAGTGAAATTGTGAGTTCACATCAGGTTAACGTCACAATTTTGCCACGCTGCACAGGAGCGATTAATTACAGGGACCCGATCCGTCAACTGCGCATGTGCGAAACGACTGCATTCGAAATATTTCGAACCTTCAAATGAAAATGTAGCGGTATCTTGCCTTGTCGAATAAAAATTGTTTTGAACAGTTCCCTATTTACGTAATTAGTAAATATGTCAGTGAACTGTTTTAAATGTGGTAAAATTTTTTCAAATCAGTCTAAGCTTTCTACGCCGATGCAATGTGGAGAAAATGTGCGTTTAAATAAGTGTCTGGAAGATTTCCAGTAACTTTTTTTTTCAAACCGAAAGGACTTCTACATTAATGAAGTTTATTTTACAGAAATTATGAAAGTTGTTGGAAAAATACAAGCACTCCGTTTTATGTCTTACATTACTTTAGTTTTTCATGGAAGAGTATTGAACAATTATAATAAGCTATTTTAAACACGTTTTAGAACGAGACAACTTTTGAAAACATCCGCCTAAAGACAACGATTTTGCCAACCCATACAAGATTAACCGTAATATGTCATTTAAATTTAGTTCATTAATAATTTGTTTACTTTCAACAACAATAAATAAATTTAAGTTTATAATAATACTTATAATAATTTATTATAATCCTTATCTTCACTCATAAACGTGTATTACGTTAAATATTTTAAACTATCTGGTGCAAAGTTAACAATTTCCATAAGCTACTACAACAAAATAAACAATCTTGGACGGTTAATATCAAAGTCGTCAATATACATTATACATGCGATTTTTTTTCTTATTACTCAGAGTACAAGTTATTTATTCTCTATATTTTAGTTATGAATGTAACAACTATGTACCTGTAGAAATAAATATTGTAAAATTTCCTATTTTCATTCCTAAACGTTTTTATAAACTTGCTCAGATTTTTTTAGGTTGGAGATTGTCCATCGTTGTCACTTTTGATGTCATTTCAAATATTTGCACATGCGCAGTTGACGGATCGGGCCCTGTAATTAATCACTCCTCGCTGCACCACTGAGCCCGTTATCTATCTACGTAACTATAGGCTTACACATTGTCACGATGTGAACTGGGAGCTGTTTGAACATTTGAAGTATTTTTTAATTATTATTCTTATTGTTCGTAGTAAATAAGTTTGCCTATTCTTGAAGTATAAAGTGATTGATTTCTCGTTTTAGCAAATTTTACTTACATGTAAAGTTTCATAAATATTTTCTTTTTATTTTCAAAGTAATTTACTTGGTTTTATTCTTTATACCAACTCGGTATTATGCAGACGTTTTCTCTAAATGGGTATGGTTCATTAAGAAAATCGTCAAACAGATAAAAACGTATTACATTTTTATATTATTCTTGGTCATTAAAGGCGACGCAAAAGCAAATATCACATTTTTAAAAGACAGAGGACACATTTTAACATCACGAATATTTTGGTTTTGTCGTCAATTCCAATTCAGATTAATCAATAACATACAAAATTTTGCTTTACTGTATAAAATACTAAATAAGATCTATCTATCTAATTAGCCTTCTTCGGTCCATCTTTGGACATAGGCCTCCCCAATCCTTTTCCATTCTTCTCTGTCTGTCGCTACAGTCATCCACCTAGAGCCCACATGCTTCTTGATATCATCTGCCCATCTCATTTGGGCCTTCCTCTGCTTCGTTTATATACACACAGTCTCCAACTTATAAGAATTTTGTTCCATCGGTCTTCTTTTTGTCTTATATTGTGTCCGGCAAATCTCCATTTCAATTTTGCAACTTCTTGTCTAACATCCCTCACTTTTGTTTTCTCTCTTATCCACTCGTTTTTCTTTTTATCCATTAGTCTTATGTGCAACATTTGTCTTTCCATTGCTCTTTGGGTTTTTATGATTTTGTCCATGTTTGCTTTTGTAAATGTCCACGTTTGGGAACCATAAGTAAGAACAGGGAGTACACATTGATTGTATACATAGGTCTTAAGATGCTGTGGATATATTTTGTTTAAATAAAACACTAAATAAGACTAAATAAGATAGCCACTGAAAATATACAATCAATTCAGATTAGGCATCCCCTCCAGGTCTAAAAACAAACTATCAATCTTGTGTTAACGTCCTTGCATTTTTACAGTTAATTTCATTTCCGGATCCTCCAACTCAGTTGGCTGGTAACTTTTGTCAGACTCAGCCGTTTCTAATAAGGCTCAATATGTTTCCTTTTGGCTAATTCTGAAATCATCAACATTATGTCGTTTTTTAAATAGTTAAATGTAGTTACTGCCGAACAAATAATCTCCAGATCTAGTTGGTCAATTTTAATAAATCTTGATGCATTTTGTTTGTTTTGGTTTTTTATATGATAGTTTACCATAATTTGACAAAAAACGATAATAAAATTTTTGTGACTGAAAAAAATCAAAAAAGGTCATTTTTTGAACATTTTTTTTAAATATCCGCCATTTTTTTAAGAATGTTGAATTTTTCTGGTACACTATTACGTAAGGGCACTTTTTTTTTAAAACCTCGAATTGTAAGTTTCAGATTTGCCGTTTCAGATATTAACTGTCCGCCATGAAGCAGTAATTATTGAATGAAAAAATTTTGGCGCCATCTTTAAAATACAGGAACAATGAAAAAATGTTTTCTTTAAAAGTTCTATAATAATAGGAAAAAAGTTTGTGATATATAATAAAATAAATACAAAAAAAGTGTCATTTTTTAGCATTCTAGACAGTAATAGTACATTACAGTACATTTTTATACAGTTTAATGTTTTTTTTGAAATACTTAAGTAAGTAATCATACCACATATTTATAAGATTAACAGTCAACATTTTACTCGTTTTATTCGTTATATTAAAGTGGGATTACTTACTTTCAGGTTTCACTAATGATGGTGTGATAGGACAGAAAACGTTTTAAAAATGATATTCCTTTTGAATATTTTTATTATTTGTAAATATTTGTATTTGTAGGTTTTCTACAATAAATTCAGATTATGCAACATTTTAATCCATGTGTTAGGACAATTAGGCTTTTGTAAGACCTCCATTGAAGTACTGTTCTTTAAAAGACCAATCTATCATACAAGAAAAACATAAACCTTCTCTACGGCTCGATCTACAACCTTGTAATAACATCCACACAGTAAAGTAGTTTCTGTACGACGATCTGCTATGATTATTTAAAAAATTAATTCGAGAATATGATTAAATTTTAAACTATTACTTCCAAAATTGGCACAATCAAAAAATAATCTACAAACGATATGATCAAAATTAAAACAGATGAACTACAACTTAATAGGTAACATATTTATTCTCATTCAATGGATAAAGATTATGAATGAACAAGGCAAGATTAGGGGCTACTTTTTAAGTTTTTCTTAAAAAAAAAACAAAATGAGATTCTAATGGTAATTTTACTGTACAAAGATTACGTCCATATTTAAAGTTATATTAATCAGAACTTATAGGAAAAAATAGAACTGGCAATAGTAATATGAGTTAATAGAGATGACATGAGAGTTAATATGAGTTATAATTACTAAAAGTCATTTTGCAAAATCCACTTACTAATACTATTTACATGAGATTCCCAAAATAATCTTAGCAAAAGTGTATTTGGCCGGCTTTATATCTTCAGAATTTCAAAGAAATCCATTGAATGAGACATAACAATTTGAAACTTAAGATCTAATAATAAGGATAATGATAATAACATACACAGCATTTTTTCATATAAATTCCTATGTGTTAGTTGAAAAATAGTTAATATAAAATATATTATATAAAAATTTAAGATAGATTCCTAAAAGAGTGAGAAATTTAAAAATCATCATCCAGCGAAAATAAACACTTTTGTAAATGTATATATAAAGAGCAAGATGTTGTAGTCATTTAAGGCAAACACACGTTACTCATTTATCACATATAGTTATATTTTAAAGTAGTTCCTCTAAGGGTGAGTGAGTCATTAACTATCACGACTTTTGAGATGCCATCTCCGGGGCCACGGGAACGGCCAGTTGTACTGCCGCGGCAACGGACCGCTAACGTTGCCTTCGAAGTATAGGAATAATGAGAACCACCATTCACGGCCCATCAAATTGCTTGGAGAATGTTGCTAAAACAAAACAAACTATTGTTACAAAATAATATTCAGTTTAAAGATGCATTGCTATTTCTTTATATCTATATAAATCAGTTTATAGCGTTCACTGTCTGTTTGGGAAAGTATATAGGATGTATTTACATATTTTATATGTCTGAACGTCTCGTTAGCTACTGTCCGTGGTCGCCTTAGGGGTGAAGCGACCCTATTACGTAGGTCTCTGCGGCTCATTCAAATATTATTTCACATCTTTCGTTACGTTTATGGATACAAACAAAGATCTTCTTCTACAATAGTTTTGGGAAGTCAGAATCATATCTAAACCTGTTAGTTTTGTCCCAACACGATCAAGCTCGTGAGGATATTTCTAACTCTTAAATTTTCCGAGAACCAACAGGCAGATTTTCTGTTATTCTATCGTTTTGACAACAGTAAATGATATTGGTGGATTCTGTGCGGGATAGGGAAATCAAGGAGTGCGAGATAGAACGTGTGGCGTCATGGGAAATCAATAAGTGCGATAGAGAACGTGTGACGTAGGTGACGTTACACTTTACGATCATGCTGAACGTGATGGTGACGCTAGTCTACACTAGAGGGCTTGACAGTTTACAATTTTTATTTTAAAAATATTAAAAAATCAATTTTTAATTTTTGAAATACTCTTATATAATTCTTCTTCTTCAAGTGCCCTCTTCGTTCCGAAGGTTGGAGATCATCAGGGCTATACGTATTTTCGAAACTGCTGACCGAAACAATTCGTTGTTGCTACAGCTATACCATTCCCGTAGAGTCTTTAGCCAAGAGTTTCGTCTTCTTCCTATGGACCTTTTTCCTGCTATTTTCCCTTGCATAATTATTCGAAGCAGTTCATATCTTTCGCTTCTTGTAATGTGTCCCAAGTATTGCAGTTTTCGTTTTTTGATCGTAAAGTATATAATATATACATAATTACTATATAGTACATAGGATATATATATATATATATATTTATATATATTATATATATATATATATATATATATATATATTGTTATGATATGTAAAATCAAGAAAATATCGGTTTGTTTAAAAATATTTCAAAGTTCAAATAATTAAAATAATTCAGATAAGTCGAATTAATAAACGACAAACATTTCGAAGAATGAAAGTCCTTTTATCTTTGGATTACCTATATTGAACAAAACGTAAGCTATGCATAAATTATTTTCTTTGTTAAAATATATTTGAATGACGTGAGCGAACTTAAGACAATTGAACCGGGTTTTCCAAATACATTAGTGCAGTAATTAGGACAATAGAATAGATTTTAGAAAGATATGTTTTTGTTAGTTTTTAAGAATTGGTAGGAAAATATTATTTTGTAAACAAGTTTTAGGAAATTTTATAATTGTAGGTAAAAATGTGTGTGTTATCGAAATGAAGAAATTGGAGAGGTATGACGCGTTTTGATTGGATGAGATTGGAAAAGGTGGGAGGTTTGGTTTGAGAATGAGACTTTAATTAGTTTTTGAAGAAAAAAAGATAGTCAGTTGGTTTCCAAGGGTGCAAGGCGAACGGCCGTTGTTCTCGGGTAGTTTCCCAGAGATAGGAAGCAGTAGCAGTGAAAGTTTGTGAGTCTTCGTGTAGTTAGTGTATCTGACAGAAGCGGATCCAGTAAAATATTGTAAGTTATATTTTCTACTTATATTCCAAGAGTCACTGTTCAGGCCAACGAGAGATTCAGTTTATCGTAAAGAAAAGATATTCCGAGAGTCATTTTTCACTCAGGCCAACGAGAGATTCAGTTTATTGAGAGAAGAAGAAGCTAGCATAATTTGAACGATTCGTGCATTTGAAGGAGATCATTAACGACGATAATCTTGCAATAATTTGCTGTAAGATTGCTGATTACCTAGGGAGCAGCTACGAGTAAATAGTATAGTCTACAAGGAACAAGGATTTGGACCACTCATAATCAGACAGAGTTAGGCTTGGGCATAATAGTTCATCATAAAGAGCGCTCAGTTTAGTTCAAATGTGAGAAGTGAACTAGGTCGCTCTTTTAGTTCACTAGTTCATTAACTCAAAGAGTTACTAAGCATGAGAGATTTATTTACACATGAGCAAAATGTAAGATTATTTTATCTTTTGTACATAAGTTTATTTTTGATAACGCCGATTTTAATTTATATTAGAATTATAAATATTTTATTACAAAATTTATTATTGTTTTTTTAAGAATGTGGTAAAAATCAATAATAAGAAAATAAAGGACAAATTAATTAGTATTTATTTAAAAAAAATAAAACCAGTACTCTAACACAATTTATAAGAAAGTAACTAAAATTAATAGATTATAAAATAGATTTAAATGACTTAGTTTACATATTTGTATGTAAAAATATTAATTTAGAAACTTTACTCGATTTTAAAAGAGTTCTACGTTCATTTATTATTTGACCTGTGCCAGAAAAAATCCGTTCACATGGCACAGAAGTTGCGACGACACAAAATCGATTTAAAATTAACGAGTATAAATTTGGATAAACCTTTTTTCTTTGATCCCACCATTCTAGTGGATTGCTTTTTCTATCTAGATAGTCCTCACCTAAATATTTGTCCAACTCTATAATGCCAGCCATTTGTTTATTTTCTGGTCTAATGATTTTTATAGTTTCCTCATCATAGTCATCCCAAATGCTCTTCTGCTGGTTTCTGTCTTCACTGACTATAATATTTATGTTTATATTGTTTGTAGGCCTTTCTTGATTAACTTCCGGTAAAGATACAACCGCAAGTTTATTTCGAAGTCCCTGTAATGCCTTCTCATAAGCTTTGACATTTGTAAAACCTCGATTTCTAAACCTTGGGTCCAAAATAGTACACTCTGCAAAAAGCTCATTATCTTCTATATTTTGAAATCGATTTCTCATTTCCTCTTTTAAAACATCTAATAATGCGGTCACTTTAGGATTGTCTGTAGAACTTTTTGATAAAAATTTATCAATAATTTTACAAAACACAATAACTTTTGATAATGTTACATTTTTTTCGGAACAAAGTTCTGTTGTTACTTCATAAAATGGTTGCAGGAGTGGTAGTACTTGTTCTATAATGTCCCAGTCGTCTTGCTGCATGGAAAGGTCGTTCCGCAAAAGGGCTGTAGTTGTAATAATAGCATCTTTTATTTTAAATATGCGCTCTAACATTTCAAATGAAGAATTCCAACGAGTTGAAACCTCTTGTTTCAATTTTAAAAGTGGTAAGTTCATTTGTCTTTGGGCGTCTTGTAATTTACGTAGTCCCTGAGTGCTTCTTTTAAAATATTCCACAATAGATTTCACCTTTGCAAGAGTATCTGATATTGTCCGTTTTGCTTTCTGAACAACCAAATTTAATGAATGTGCAAAGCACCCAACCGATGTCCAATTGCCCATTTTAACAGTTAATAAAATATTTGACGCATTATCACTTACAACAGCAGCTATTTTGTGAGAAATTTGCCATTCTTGCAATATGTTTTTCAGGAAATCTAACATGTTTTCAGCAGTATGTCTTTCATTATATTGGATGCAGCCTAACGTAGAAGAACAAAGCTTTGATTGTTCGTCAATATAATGAGCTGTTACAGCAATGTAACTTTCATTAGAGCGGGATGTCCATGAATCAGTAGTAAGGCACACGGCTTGTGCGTTATTTAACTTTATTTGTAATTCTTCTGTTATTTGCTGATGTGTTTTTATGAGCAAATTTTCAGACAATTTTTTCCTAGATGGTAATTGATAATTTGGACAATGAGATACCATTTTAATTAATTCTTTAAATTCTGTTTCTTCGACCATTCTTAATGCATGATGCCCTTTAGCGATCATTTTGATAACTTGTTTATCGATTTGTTCTATTTTATGTATTGATGGCGGCTTTCGAACAAAATTTGTTATTCTGGTTTGAGATCTTGCTTTGGTACTTGAGGAAGATGACGTGTGACCAGAAATATCTTCACTATTCATTACTTGGATTTCAGGTATAAGTTCAGACTTAGACGGTTCCACTGATGTTAAGACTATGGGGTGCTTACTTTTCATATGGCGACTTAAGTTTCCATTTGAACCATTAGCAATGCTAATTGACTGGGAGCAGTAATTGCATTTGGCTCTTTTGTCTCCATGTTCCGTAAAATAGTCCCAAAGAGCACTGTGTTTTCTTTTCGAACTCATAGTATTTTTTTGAATCTGAAATAAAAAAGACTTAATTAACTTCTTACAATAATTGTACACAATTATTATTATACACAAGTACTATTATACACAAGTATAGGTACTATATAAACATACAATTATTATTACATACAATAATTAATTATTAAAATATAATAAATTATTAAATATATTAAAATTAATAATTAATAAACATAAAATAATGATTCTATTGTACATATTATTATTATTGTTATTATACATAATATTATTCTACACAATTATTATACACTAAAACAATTTTTACTTACATAAATATATCACCAGTTATCAGCTCACCCTCACGGTAAAGTAAACTAAATTATCTATATAATGAAAATAAAACGCACCACAAACTTGAAATTATAATCTCAACTAAATGATTTCTCAGCAGTTTCAGCGCTCACCCACTTCTACTAATCGTCCACATGTCCACATATTAGTTCCTAAATGGTTAGTTCTTTTCATGTTCTTCCGTCCTACCCGCTACCCGCTCAGTTACCCAGCTCACTTATTTCGTTCGTCGCGTCTGAACTCGGAAGATTTGAACTGAACCGCTCCTGACCGATGAACAAACGAAACGCGAAGCTTCGACTCCGAGAAATAAACGGCTCAGCGGAGCGAGTGAACGGTTTAAGCCAGCTCTGACGAACTAGTTCATTTAGTTCAGGGTTTGGAGCCGGATCTTTGAACTAGTTCGCTCATGAACTACACAGCCTAACAGAGATAGTTTTGTTTTCTGCAGTTTTTCTTTTATTGATAACACAATTTTTACACTTAATTTAGAAAGGATATAAATATTTTGATTAGGAGATTTAGAATAATATTTGGATTTTGAGATTTCAACTAATATTGTTTGTACCAGTAATTTTGAAGGTTCACGTACGTAGAACAAAATTTTGAGAATCATTATATGAGATTTTGTTTATTGAAAACATTTGAGTGTGAATTTTATTTCATTATTTTTATTTCAATATATAACGTTAGATCCTATATGTTTTTTATTATTCCAGTATTCTTTGGACCTTACCTTTCACATGTAATAGCATAGATATTGAAGCACGAATATAACCCTGAGATAAGAGAATTAAAAGGTGTGATAGAATCATAGTCATATCATTAAAATAATTTTAATTAATTAATTAATTAATTAGCTAATTAATTGCTTGGCGCACTAAGACTTTAAATATCACATTAATATATATATATATATATATATATATATATATATATATATATATATATACATATATATATATATCCTTTACGTTAAACGTGCTTCATTTTATCAATGTTTTCCATACAGTGTAGATTAGAAAAGTTTTACGAACAAACACAAAAGTTAAAAGCCGATAAAAACAAAAACAAAATTACCAAAAACAACACAATACCCGTCAAAAAGAATTCAACCGACAAGCTGCCTCAACTAATAACCTCGTTCATACGAGGAAAATATCTTACAGCAATTAAAAACTCTAATATCTAAACTTGTATCTGTATATAATGAAATTTTAATAGTAAATAAATGTACTTTTTTCAATAATAAAATACTTTTTTTGTTTTTTATCCATCTGGTATACACGCTAATCATCGAGCGGCGCGTGAAACAAGAAGACTGGTCGCTATGGTACAATGAACACAAAAAAATCCTAGATTTTTATCTAACCTAATCATATAAAAATTTCACGTTGTCGAATAAAGAAACTAAACCATAAGTGGCTATAAATTTGAAAATGTTAAATTATTACAGAAAAATATTATACAGACTTACCAATGTTCTTGTCGGTGTGAGGATATATCTTTTCATGGTACATTATAAACTTGAAATAAGAATAAATTTACTATTACACCGGTTTAAATAGTGCATCATTTACCTACTATTTGACTCACTTCCGGTACTCAACTGTCATATATTAGAATTACCAATAATTATTAACTTAGTAATAATTCAGTTAATTTCTTGAATTTGTTAATTCAACAATGAATTTGTTACCATCAACAATTTATCTATTTATTGCTCTAGTTTCCATATTAACATATTAGAGCTGAAATAAAATGTTTACACATACCATGACAGATAGCTCATTCGAACCAACAATATTTTTTTCAAATTTTTTTTTAATTTTGTAACTTTATTACGAATTTTGATTAATACGTTATATATTTAATTACCAAATAATCACTTAGGTTTGTTTTGTAATTCTGACTTAATTGAGTTGGTTATAATAGGAAATTTATTTCAATTATTCTGATTGTTACATTTACATTTAAATTTAATTTATTTAATGACTGTTAAAAGTATGCCAATATTATACATATTAACTTACAGTTTTCATTTAAATGTTTAGAGAACTTCATTAATATCTGTTTACTTCAAAAAACTGGTTAACTTTACTTGCAGTACTAAGAAATAGAAGAAGAACTGTCACACTTTAACATACATTAGCTTGTCAAATTTACCTCTAAAAATCTATAGACAACAAAAAACTCATTTTCTCCAATTCAGAGATGTAGTGCTATTAAGTCCCTCATTTTAAATTTAATGTCTGTTTTGTCCTTTTAAGTGCGTTCTGTTTGTCCCTAAATGTCCTTAATTGTTTTTGTTTTAATAATTTTAACATATTTAACATTACAACCATCTGCTATCCATACAACTAATTACAACCATACAACTATCACCTTAATAAAAAAAATTTCAATAAATTAACACACATTTCGAAAATATATCTCTTGGATAAATACAAATAACTTTTAATTGAATTAAATAATACAGAACATCACTTTCATTTAACAAACAATCACATTATACCTTTTTTCTACTTCATTGGATAAAATCTATCTCCTCAAGAAACTTCCCCGTTGATTGTCAAACAGTTACAATAGTAAAAACTGAAGATCCCTATCATCAGCAATTACAGTATAGTTTGAACTATGTTCTCCCAACCATTAATAAATCGTGTAGCAGCATGTAAGTAATGTTTTGTTTATTTACTAATTTATTACAATTCAATAGACTATTTTATACCAATTTGTGGGTCTTACTTTGTCTGCTTAAACAGTTTATTCATATTAAAAACCACAGACATGTAATATTGGCATAATTACTGTAATTTATATTATTTTATCTTTATGTTTATCTTTATAAGACAGCACCCTAATATGGGTTTTATTATTTCAGCATTTAATTAACTTTGTATCGACTGACCTGAAGATGCTTTGCAAATTGTAGAAAGCGAAACCGGTCATCTAGGTAGTTAAATTAAACTGATTATAAGTATAGTCTTATTTATTTCTTTTTTACCTATTTGAAATGGACTCACACAAGCAACACATTCATGATTTGAATATTTAAACAATTTCAATAATAAATAAATATTTTTTAACATACTAATTTTTCTTTTCTTAAAGAAGGTTGAATATTTTGTTTTTGATTATGCCATATTTATGTCCTTCAATAAACCATCGTTTTATGTATACTTTTATATAAAATAGTTTCGACGTTACACATCTGGTAGGCGCAGGTGTCTCGCACGGCTCATCTTTTTTTTTTCAAATTATACGTTTCAGACACTCAAAACATTTCACAACATAAAATTAAGAATATGCTACTTACTTTTAAAATAGAATTATTCGCTAAGGTATGGTATGTCCAAAACAGTCTGGTTGTAATATAATAAGCAATTATCACATCTATGCTGTAATGTCCGTGAGATAACTCCAACATTATGACTCCCAAACAGGATAATATCCAATACAACCAATGCACCAAATACAATTTCTTCGGAGTATCTAAAAGAATATTTTTTTAGTTATGATCTATAAAGTTTGGTTATTTTAAATACACAATCGAACAATCGATTTTGGTCTTTGTTGTATATTTTAACCAGTAATGACGGGAAAACTACTGAACCACCTAAGATACGCAGACTAAATCGTTAGTCTTAAGAAGAACGACTAGAGAGCATCGTTCAAGATACCTATACAAGTAAGGAGGATCACTCCAGAAACTAACTTGAAGCTAACTCAAAAATTCCAATTAAATGTAGTAAATGTAGTAGGCAGTATTTGACTTCACGGGATAAATTTCATTCTCACAAGGACATGTAGTGTATTAAGATAACATTGTGTTTTTAATTAAGTGCCTGCGCATGAAGAAGTGCGATTGAACGAACAATCTTTTATCTTATTCTGACATATCTGTATTTAGTATTCTATTCAAATTTATAAACTCTTCTAAGATAAAGTCATACACACATCCTCAGTAGCTAAAAATGAAACTATTAAACCATTGATTCCTTCATACAGATCTCAAAATGGACAGACATTCATAAACGCTAAAATGGACATAATGGCGAATAAGCTATAAAGAGAAATGGAAAGAAAAATTATCGCCATTAGATGACACAGAAAAGAAGAAATAGTGTTTAATTACGCTAGTACCCAGATAGTAAAGCTAAAGTTGTAATTCTCCGGCCTCACTATTCCACAAAAAAACTAACTAAAACTAATTTAAGATTATGACATATTGGAGACCAATGAAGACATAAAAAGCGAAAAATGGGGAGCGAAAATGAGATGGATAGAGGATATTACGAAAGCCCGTGAATTTAAAGTTAAAATTAAATATTACAGCGCGACGTAATGAATAAGCCGATAATGTCAAAGTTTATCAATAAGGCGGGGAGGATAGTCATTTGGCTCAGTTTGGACTGAGTAGATATACTACAATAGGACTGATAGATATAACAGAACTTTTTAATAAACATTTTAAAAAAGTTTTACATCCATATAATCTCAATTTATCTAAGTCATAGTTATAGTTTATATCATCCATATAATCAATAGACTTTTAATTCATCTAAGTTAGTAATATTCCTAAATTTAGTAGATAGGTTTTCTTTTTTGGTTTAGCATGTTTAATTTTGTTTGTTTGTTGTTTGGATAAGATAAACTTTCTAGCGCCTCTTTATGGGGTGTGATATTGAACAAATGACTTGGTGAATAATTAAAGTTCACAAAGGTCATTGGGACCATTCTATTTATCAACAAATTGGGCATTTAACCCCAATTTGTCCATGGTCCTTCGAGCTGGATTTTAAACGAAAGAGTTTGAGAGAAGGTAAGGCTTATATCCAATTTATACTTATTTTGTAATATTTTGATTGATAAACATAGATGAAATAAGAAAGAAAGACTGGTAAATCCAATATTACTCGGGTACAAAATTGGATTCGGACTTATTTGAATCAAATAAATAGTAAATTTGCACTAACCGTGAAACTACATTACTACATTAAAAGAAAGCATATCATGATTTTAATAAAGGTTATAAATATTTAGAAGGCATATCGACCGATGAAGGTATATTAGAAATGCGAGAAGAGACGGACACTCTTTATATGTAATGTTTTGATATTTTAAGTAATAAAATAGATTTATTGCCTAAAGATAATTTAAATTCAGACACAGTTATCAAGCCATCCGAACAAAATCAAGCCTGGATCTGATGATCATTTAAAAGGCAGACGAAATAAGGGAACGCATTAAAATAGGACAATATGAAAAGAAAGTTCAAAGGTAAATAATACAGTTAATTATAGAAAACCATTTTGAAGCTTGTACTGCTCAAACCAATAGAAGAAGTAGCGAGACAAAAGTGGACAGAGTTATGAAAAACTTTGACTGACCATTTACAGCTTTTACTGGACAGTGGAGACACCAATATGAACCAGGAATCACTGATTAAAGGTAAAAAAATAAATATGGCTATTTTATTTTATAAAATTATAGTAAAAATACTTTAAAGGCGTTTTTCCCGAAATCACATTTTTCAAAACTGTTTTGACGTTTGAAACTGACGTTTTTCTTAAAATCTACTACACCAATCTCAGTAAACCAAATGTTTTGATACTTTATATATACTACTAACTAAACCTCTAAAAAGTTAAAAAAAAAGAAACCACCCCACATTTTTAGCACAGGGATAAATTTATCCCCAAAACATGCGTTTTTTCGAAGCTTTTATAAAATCACATATTCATGGAGGCTGAATCACAGTACTTTTTAAAGGTTTAATTATTAGTTCTGTCTCACGAATCGAATCTCGTTGGAATTAAAAAAAAATTGTTACATGAAAGCAGAAAAGTGTCTTCCAAATTAAAATGGATCTTTTGGAAGACGTCCTCTGCACTGGTAAAAAACAACTAAAAGTGCCAAAAATATTTTTTTGTATAGTACCTCAAACCCTGCTTAACAATGAATAGAAATAATACATATGTATAATAGTTTTTTTTAATATAAAAATTGTCTTTTTTCCAATTTAGAAAGTAAAAGTTTTCCTTAACTGTCACCCACGAAACAATTTGGAAGGTTTTGTTTAGAAACTTATAAAGATGGTCCTCAGTGAGACTAAATAACAACATGCTATCAGATATATACTATCGCGTCATACAATGAAAAATTATAAGCAAACAGAGAAAGATAAACAACGGAATACCAGAGGGATCTTTTTTGGCCTTGCTTTATTCAACCTTTATATATCAGACCTTCCCAAAACTGCTGCAAGGAAATTTGGATAAGCTGAGGAATTATATCTAGTTGTTCAAAATATATTTAAACTTAATACTAATTTATATTTTACTTAATAGATGTTTTGTCCATTCTGAATGAATACTTAAAAAATGGAGATTGATACCAAACCTATATAAGGCTGAAGCTGCTTCCATCTTAATAACAGGAAGACAAATCGAACAAACCAGAACGGACTTTAGACCGAAAAAAAAACAACATTATTCAGAAGCTCTATGGAGCTTCGTGGAGAGAGCGTAGGCGCAAAATTTCGGGCCAATGTTTTTTAAATGCATTCATTTTTTTCGAATCCTGAGAAAACTAACAAATATTTTTGAAAAATTTAAACGCAGAATGAAAGATTACATTATTACCGAGGGCCGAAAGTCCCTTAGAATAAACAAAAAGTTTTTTTGAATGAGATATTTGAAATTAAAAATCACACTAAATTTTCTCTTTTTTTTTCACCCCTGTAACTTATTAAAATAAACATTATAGAAGTTTTCAGGGACTTTCGGCCCTCGGTAATAATGTATTCTTTCATTCTGCGTTAAAATTTTTCAAAAATATTTATTAGTTTTCTCAGGATTCGAAAAAAAATGAATGCATTTAAAAAGCATTGGCCCGAAATTTTGCGACTACGCTCTTAAGAACTTCAGCTCTGAGCCTGGTACACTCTGTGGCCAGATCATCGAGCAAAAAGACAAAAGAGGGAATCTAATCGTTATAAAAAGGAGACCAAAAAAGTGGCCTCTGATGGCGGACATATCCGGAAATGCGAATGCGCCAAATTTAAATTTTTCGACACTTATTAACAGTAGCTATAAAATAGTTTTCAGAATGTGTCTTAGACGAGAAACTTTAAATAAATATAAACGATAACAGTCTAAAATGTGACATAATTGTTAATAAACTTCAATATAAATAAGAATTTAATTCAAAATAAAAGAAAGTAACCAAAACATACGCGTTGAAGCATCTCCTATAAGAATCACGAAAAAGGAAGTAAGGGATATCTGTATTTCACTCAAAAACAAAAAAGCGCCCGGACCTGGCAATATACCCTCAGAACTGATAAAATATGGAACTGAAAAACTATATGAGCATTTGACAATACTCTTTCAAAACTGCATAAACAAAGTAGAGGTTCCAGCCGAATTTAAAACCTCAACCATTTCAACTTTACATAAAAAGGGAAACAAACAAAATTGCGACAATTACCGTGGAATAGCAGTTACTAGTACCATTAGTAAAATCTATGGGAAAATGATCAAAAATAGAATAGAAAGAGAATACACTGATATGGAGGCAGAAGAACAGGCGGGTTTTAGAGCTGGTAGATCGACCATAGACCACCTTTTTTGTATCACCCAACTTATAGAAAAAAAGGTTGCTGTAGATCAAGAAGTCCACTTTTTGTTTGTTGATCTAAAAAAGGCCTACGATAGCATCCCTCAAAATAAGTTATGGAACACTCTCAGACAAACGAACATCAACTCAAATCTCATAACAGCAGTGGAAAAACTATATGAGAACGCCAACGCCAAAGTTAAAATAGGAACGAATGTTTCCAAAGGTTTTGTAGTAGACAAAGGACTGAAGCAGGGATGCTGCTTAGCGCCGACACTTTTCAAAATATATCTGGAACAAGCATTAAAACTCTGGAAGCGGAAATGCAGCGGCATGGGTATACAATTAAACAATAACAACCTGTACACTCTATGTTTTGCTGATGATCAAATTGTGATTGCTAACGAATATGACGACCTAGAATACATGACTCGAAAATTAATCGAAGAATACAAAAAATGGGGATTAGAAGTCAACATAGATAAAACAATGTACATGAACATCGGTGGTAAAGAACAAAATCTAGTTTTAAACGACGGACAACACATTAAGTACAACAATAAATATTCCTATTTAGGAGTAGAAATCACAGACGACGGCAAATCAGATCAGGCTATAAAAAAACGAAACACTCAGGGTAGAAGGGCCATATCTCAACTAAATAGTATTATCTGGGATCAACATATATCCAAAAAAAATAAACATCGAATATACAACACTATTATAAAGAGCATAGTAATGTATGGAAGTGACGTGTGGCAGTTAAAGGCAACTACTGAAAGAACACTACAAGCCACGGAGATGGACTACTGGAGACGGGCCGCAGGAAAATCAAAACTCGAAAGAATTAATAACGAACGTATACGAGAGGTTATGGGAGTCACACATACGATTGTCGAAGATATAAGAGTACAACAACTAAAGTGGTATGGACATGTGCAGAGAATGCCAGAACATCGTCTGCCCAAACAGATTATAGATTGGTCACCACATGGAAAGAGAAAAAGAGGCCGACCCAGAAAGAGCTGGAGAGAAGGAATAGACAGAGAGATCCGAGAGAGAGGTTTAGACGAAGATCTTTGGGAAGATAGAGATGCATGGAGATTGGGCATCGGAAGACGTCGGAGGACGTTTTAAACCGATTATATATATATATATATATATAATATATATATATATATATATATATATATATATATATATATATATAAATAAGAATTTCATGTGACAGTTAGGACAAACAATAACATAACCCAACTGAATTTGATTTCTTAAACAAGGAAAGACTCTCTTTCCTTGTTTAATGTGGCCTCTCAAGATGACACTTCCTGTCTAACAATATTTTTGCCCCCACTACCTTTACATTCCCTCTTTTGTCTTTTTGCTCGATGGGCCAGACACTGCGTACCAGTTTGGTTTGAATAGCGCCCAATCTAAAAGAAAAGAAGCATTCGTAAAAACATAAAATACAATCAAGAATAACAATGAACTACCCATCCACTAGGATTTACATAACGGATAACGAACCGACTGCGATCTCGAAACCCACCCTAGTGTCTTTTTAATCTCTCACACCATATATGCAATAACCTGAGTAGAATTCGCATGGGACAATGTATCTATGCAGAAAATCTATATAAAATGGAAAAACTCCCGATAACAAATTGCAATTTTACAAAAATTATAAACTATAAATATCTACTTACATTCCGATATGAGTAGAAAAGTAAACGTCAACATGACAGTATGTCCACTATAAATGAAGTCGCCGCAGTAGACGTGCTGACCGTTCACCGACAATCCCATACCGGACATAAGTTTCGCCACTCTCTTGACTATCATCAGTGGCGAGGTTTCGTTTGATTTCGGTGAACATGGATAGTTTCTATTCGATAGAGGCAATACGGTTACGTACATTGTAATGGCTCGGTACAAATATAACAATGACATTAACAAAAATATTCTTCTAAATACGATAAATCTGAAACAGAATAAAATGTATGATTACATATTGAAAACAACTCTACTCAATATCAATTTTCCAAGGCATATCACGAAAATTTAAAAAAATCATAATAACGTATAAGAGACGAGGATTAAATGTATTTAAATTATAATAATATCTACAGTGTCCTATACATTCTAACTCTAGGAACGAAAATCCGAAATATACCTCTAATTTGGGACAACTTTGCGAAATTATCTTCCTGTTATAACTTGTATGGTACTTTCTTCTAACCAGGTTTTGTGATTCCCGCACAATAACAAGAAGCAATTCATTCAAATTCCTTTTTTGCTTTGTATTTCACTTGTATTAAAATAATTACAGTTTACCTTTTAGTTAATAGAGGGAGAACATAAAATAATTCTCGTCAGCATAATGACGCCTTTGTTACATGAGAACTGATTTTGGCGTAAAGCGTAGCAAGTTCGAGGAATTCTTGCCACTTGATCTTGAGTTTATTTCGAATATTAATACCTTTTAGGATAATGAAATCATCAATATATGATTTTCATTCTCACATTTTCAATCAACCTGTTTGCAGTTATCCTACTCACTGCTTTTGGTAAATATTCATTGTTTTTTTTTAGATTAGGGTACATACCCTATACAGGGATTACAATATTTTCGTCCAGGGCATAAACAGTACAAGGTAGATCTCTAATTGATTAGGTACATACGTCAAAGCAGGACATAAGATAATAAATAAAAAAAGGATGTGCCATATTTGAATTCTTGTTGTTCTGACGAATGATAATAAAAAATTGTAAATGTGATATCTATTTAAAACGATCAGATACATTACGTTATATCGACGTCTAATTGTAGGATAGATCTGAGTTCATGTATAAAGAGAAAGTTCATTGCATTGAGCCCTCTATTTCGTACAGTCAAAAGACAAAGACATCTCACAAACATTATTCTCGAGTATTTTGATTTACTTGATAACATGCGTCAACTAACTTCATTTTGTATGATTTCAAAAATTCTGTATGATACTGTAGGCTAGCTTAGTACTGGGGTACATACCATAAGCATGGAGGCTAATAAGGGTGGCTCTTATACCCAAACGTGGCAAAATCGGACAGGAAAAAGCTAAGTCGCTACGGCCGATAAGTCTGATGTCATTTTTACTAAAGACTCTAGAAAAACGAAACTGCATCATCTCGTACAGAGGGTAGAGTACGTTCTGGAAAACCAATGGGTAATGTTGGGTGCATTTCTCGATATTGGGGTAGCATGCGAGAAAACCTCGTACAAGGGAGATTCGTTTAAAAGGAATAGACAAAACAAGCTGCAAATGGACAGACTGCATGCTGAGGAGCTGTGTGACATACGAAAACTTCGGGAATAAATTAGCAATCAGTTCCTTGCGGATCGCTTTTTGGCCGATATCTCGGTTTTGCAGTGGTGTGTTTTGAGCTAGGAGATGATGAAATAGCTTTCGGGGGTTGGTTAATATACAATCAACAGCAATGAATTAGCAACAAATTTTTTGTTTTCCGTAATAAATTAGCAATTACCGAAAAACTCACGTCTGGTGCTTCCACCTTCGTAAACGAGACGCTCTCAGAAACACTGTACTTCTCCTAAATACCAGGGAGATACTTTGGATCGCACGTTGTCATTCAAACAATTTCTTCTTCTTCTTCCTTCTTGTATGTAGGCTTTAAAGCCTGTTTCTTATGTTTTCGCTTCTCTCCCTATCAAACAGACTTTTCCCTGATATTCGTCGGAGTATTTTTATCTCTGTTGTTTCTAGTAGTCGTCTCGTTTTAGATGTGTCAGGTCTTGTCTCGCCGTGTATGTTAATATAGGTCTAATTGCTGCTTTATAGATTCTTGTTTTTGTGTCTTGTCTTAGGTGTTTGTTCTTCCAGATTGTGTCATTAAGAGATCCGCCGCTTTACTTGCTTTTAAGCTTTGTTGTCGTACTTTCTTCAACATGTCCGAAACTAGTTAATCTATTCCAGATATCAACCTTGCTTGCTGCTTTATTATTTTCCCATCAATTTCGATTTTACATCGTAGTGGATATTTAGATGTCATACATTTGGTTTTTTCTGCTGATAGTATCATATTGTATTTCTTTACTGTTGTATTAAAGATGTGTGTTAATCTTTGGAGCTCGTCTTCTGTCTCGGCGATTAATGCGGCGTCGTCTGCAATATTTTGATCTCTTTGTTCCCCATTCTGTAACCATGATCTTTACGTACTGATTGTATTATTTCGTCCATTATTATATATAATACAATAAAAGAGAAGTGGACTTAACGAGTCACCCTGTCTGACTCCGCTTTGTACTAATATACACTGTGTTAGTTTTCCATTTATCTTTGCCTGTATTTAATTACGAAAGTAGATGTTTTCGATGGATTGTATAATATTGATTGGTATGTTTTTGGCTTTGGTATATATATATATATATATATATATATATATATATATATATATACCAAATATATATATATATATAAATATATATATATATATATATATATATATATATATATATATATATATATATATATATTTATCAAATTATTCTCGACCGTACTGTGTTAAATATTATTTGTAGTCTCAGCAATTGGTCTGTATGAAATAAAACTCTATTTGTTATTTCTCAATATTTCGTCACGATTTTGTGACTTCTTCAGGAGAAAACTGTAAATTTATTATAATTATTATATGTAAACAAAATGAATATTTCAATACTTACAACTTAAGATTAAAAATTTTAAATTTTGATAACATATCCAATTAGATAAATGACATTTTTTTTGATTTAATTTATTTGGGAGTTATGGTAACCGCAATATTTTATAGAGTGAATTCCCATTGTACAATTTTTAGCGAATAAGTTTTAATAAACAATTACATATTGTGACAGTATTATCATATATATATGGATAATATTATCTATAATATTATATTTCACCTTATTATATGGATAATACTGTCACAATATGTAATTGTTTATTAAAACTTATTCGCTAAAAATTGTACAATGGGAATTCACTCTATAAAATATTGCGGTTACCATAACTCCCAAATAAATTAAATCAAAAAAAATGTCATTTATCTAATTGGATATGTTATCAAAATTTAAAATTTTTAATCTTAAGTTGTAAGTATTGAAATATTCATTTTGTTTACATATAATAATTATAATAAATTTACAGTTTTCTCCTGAAGAAGTCACAAAATCGTGACGAAATATTGAGAAATAACAAATAGAGTTTTATTTCACACAGACCAATTGCTGAGACTACAAATAATATATATATATATATATATATATATATATATATATATATATATATATATATATATATATATATATATATATATAATGATAATACTCCAATATTTGGGTGTGCAGCGGAAGATGGGACAAAGAAGTACTCTTTTTAGTTAACCAAGCTTTCGCAAATCTTTATTTGCATCATCAGGGTGCTACAATAAACAGAATTAGTATAAATTACAGAGTAAGATTTACTTTGCCTCTTACACTAATTGAGGTTAGTTGTCTTGATGTTTATTAAATGAAACTGGCAACTCATTTGACCCCTACAACTATGGCGAAAACTAACCAAAAATTGATTTAAAACGTTCTTTCTTCTTCTTCTTCAAGTGCCATCTTCGTTCCGAAGGTTGGCGATCATCAGGGCTATACGTATTTTCGAAACTGCTGACCGAAACAATTCGTTGTTGCTACAACTATACCATTCCCGTAGATTCTTTAGCCAGGAGTTTCGTCTTCTTCCTATGGACCTTTTTCCTGCTATTTTCCCTTGCATAATTATTCGAAGCAGTTCATATCTTTCGCCTCTTGTAATGTGGCCCAAGTATTGCAGTTTTCGTTTTTTGATTGTAAATATGACTTCCTTTTCTTTGTTCATTCTTCTCAAGACCTCGACATTTGTGACTCTCTCGGTCCATGATATTCTCAGGATTCTGCGATACATCCACAGTTCAAATGCCTCTAATTTTTTGATATCAATCTTTTTTAACGTCCATGACTCCATTCCGTAAAACAGCACAGAAAGTACGTAACATCTCATCAGGCGAAGTTTCATTTCAAGGCTCAAATCTCTTCCGCAGAACACGTTCTTTACCATATATATAACACTTAGAACACACATACATAAACATTTAAATAAAATTATGTTAAAATAGTTACAAAACGTGTACGTAGTCACAATATAAAATTTTGGTTATAAATATTCTTATCCCTTTCAGGCCTGAACTTTTTTTGAGTGAAAATTAAGTTTCCCTTTGAGTAAATACGATATACACTATCCAAAAAAGGTATAAAAAATGCAGAAAAAAAAATTCATAGTTTGAATTTGTCAAAAATGACATATCACGTTCGTGCGCTCTCGGCTTATGTTCTATCAACGCACGATCGTGAGTGTTTACTTTTATTAAACCTAATTAGGATTAGGTTAGGACCAAATAAAAATTATTTTATATTTTTTTAACATTTATTACATACAACCTTAAATAAAACAAAAACTAGGAGTAAATTTCAAGCAATTATACGTGAACATATTGTCAGGTACAGAAATTTCAAAAAAATAATAATTATTTTTTATGGTAATCTCTAAAACAGGACTTGTTGCGTGACAAACACAAATAAACATTGCACTTTTCACATCTAACTTTAGACCTACTAGAGCAATTTTCAAATCTGCATGTTCTAGGAGCTGGAATTTCATCAAAAATAGGAAAATGTTCATAACAATCATACCTCCTTGAGTCACTTGGATTATTGGCTGGTCGATACCTTTTTTGGTTTACAACTGGATCAATATCCATAGATTGAGTGTCTTCACTTGTTGATGAAGGATTTTTAGTTTTCGTTCCAATGAGACCATCGGCTACTTCTAATCTGAACTGAAGCAAATCTGCTATTTTCTTTTTCGGAATATGTGCATTGATGGCTTCAGTTATATAAAGGCGCCAAGCATTCACTACACAAAGGTCTATAAAGTGCAATATTACTTTGAGGGTCCATTTTTTTGTTTTCATGAATGTGCGATAATATTCCATACCTTGGTCTAGAACGTCCACACCTCCCATGTTGGTATTGTAGTTGTGAATAAGCTTTGGCATGGAAACTTGAATATAAGCTTTAGAAGTTTTATCCCAGCGATTCACATTCACTGTATTGTCAGCTGATGTACAATTCGATACCATAAGCACAGATTTATTGTCTTTCCATTTAACAACAACTAAGTCTCCACACACAAATTGCTGTGATTCGCCTCGTTTCATACAACGATCTTCTTTAAAAGGTATCTTTCTCCGTTCTGGAAGTCTGTTCATCATCAAAGTAGCTGTTCCATGAAGTTTCATTTGAGATAGACGTTCAATGAGGGGTATTGATGAAAAATATCTATCAAAATAGAGACAGCTTCCTGGAGGAATTGACTTTGATAGGTGTAGAATCACAGCTGCGGAAACTCCAAGTGATCTGTCAGGGAAGGGAGTCCTTGCACCTTGATATACCTCAAAGTCTATCATTAGACCGTCGCTTGTTGTAGTCACAAACACTTTTAGGCCTTGAGGTCGCGGTTTGTTTTTAACTACTTGTCTTAAGCCATTTGGACATCTTCCACAGAAAGGAATAATCTGTTCGTCAATGGAATAATTACCTGGATGTCTTTCTAATCTGTCACATGCTCGTTTAACTGCAGTTATGATGGGTTGTACCTTCCAAAGTGCATTCGTATTACCTTCAGGTGCTATGTCCTCATCAACTACATGCAAGGCTGTACGCAATGTCTTGAAACGGTCTCGTGACATTTGGCTTGATACCATGTGAAGTTGCATCTCTTGACGCCAATACATGTGAAGTCTAGGATAAGGGATGCATCCCATAATCAAGTGTATACCTATTAACTTCTTTATTTCTTCACTGTTTGTGTTCAGCATGTGACCTGTCTTACGCATATAATAATTATTTGTACAATTTGCAGCTAAATCAAAGAAACCATTATTTAAATAATCGGAAAAGTACTCCATAGCATTTCTGATTGGTTTAGGTGTACTTTCTGGATAATTATGATTTTTTTGCTGAAATGTCGTGTCTTTCCATTGCCTCCTTGCTGAAGAAGAGCTCGTTGAAGGAACAGGTTCTTCATCCAATACAGTTTCTTCAATATCCTTGTCATCGATGTCATTTTCAAATGTTTGAACCTCAAAAGCATCATCATTTTCGTCATCTAAATCTTCTATTTCAGACTCGTTGCCATCATTTAATAACTCTAGAGCCAACTCGTGGGTAAGAGGCACACCTGTAATTAGAAAAAAAAATATTTGTATCATTTAAATAGAGAAAAATTAATAAAAAGTTAAACCAATACATATTTAGTATTTTTAATTTCCTGCTATTGAAAATTGAATTTGTGACGACAACTCACTATCGTGATATTCAAATATTATGGGACAATATCTCTACAAACAAACCAATAATTTCTTAAATCTTGTTTATTATCACGAAGTTTAAACTTTACTTATACCAGAAACCCGTTACCATAAAATAAATACATAAAATAAAAACAAAATATCTTTTACTTACGTTTACCGGTTTTGTCATTAAAATACACAGCCATCTTCTGGGGTATTCTATTGCAAACTAATCGCGAATTCGTTAAATAATTTCAGTTGTGCTGATAATGCATGATAGACACAACATATTGAATCATCTATCCCAGTAAAAATATGTTTATTTTAATATTGATACTCATATAAACATGAGCTCACGATCGTGTCAGCCGGTCACGAAAGGGTTATGAGAAACAAAAGAATTGCTTGTGAATTCGTTGCTACCAACTTAAAACGACAGAACGTTAGATCTTAAATGATAACGATGTAAAGGTGATAGTATACCTGATAGAAGCTGAACTTATTGAAAAAGAAAAGATGAAAAAGACTTATTTTAGAAATAGGAGAGATATTGTATATCTCATATATAATTAAACTTATATTGTTGACGATGAATTGTCTGTATTAGTAGATTCATGTTTATCTAAAGTTAACAATAATGAATATAAGTTGCTTAAATTCTTGGTATCTGTCTTTTTATTAATGGTTTCTTTTTCTTGAAAAATGAAAGCCATCTCGAGAAACAATCTTTTTGAATAATTGCTCTCCGTGGATAGGATTTTTACATTTGAAAAATCGAAAGAGTGTCCTGTTGTGTTAACATGTGTGGCTAGGGAACATCTATCAGGGTGTAACCTAATGTCACTCTTGTGAAGAGTTAAACGGCTGGAAACTTTTTGGGAGGTGTGACCTATATAAGAACCTTCACAGCCTAAACAATTAAGTTTGTAGACCACATCACTTTTATCTAAGTTTGGTACTTTATCTTTCAATGACTTGTACAGAGATCCCACAACTAGAGTGCTTTTATAAGCAATTTTTACATTTGGTAGGTATTGAGCAAAAATTCTGGTCAATTTGGGAGTGACGTCCTTAATAAATGGAAGTGATGCAAAAGATATATTAGGAATATTGTTAGTCAGTGAGTGGGAAACAGAGGTAATTTTCATATCACCTGTATTTTGGGAAGGGTTTACTTGTGTGTTGAGTATAACAGAGGATGTGTTAAAGATGATTTTCCTAAGTAAGGATTCGGGGTAAGAATTATCTAGGAACAACTGTAAAAGGATGTTGAGATTCTTCTTTCTAAAAATAGGGTCAGCTAGTTTACAAACTCTTGTGGTCATTTGTTTTACTAGATTAATTTTCATGCTTGACTTGTGGTAAGAGTGGTAGTTGAGATATCTTCCAGAGTTGCACTTTTTTCTATACCAATCAATTGTAATGATGTTACCAGTTCCCTGATGAATATTGTGTCGAGAAAAGGAACCGATTGGTTTTGATCCTCTTTTTCAAGAGTAAATTGAATGTGGGGGTCATAGCTATTGAAAATATCTAAGAGCTCACTTTCTAAACCTTGTGGGCACGACATAATAATGTCATCAACATACTTTTTAATAAAAGGAACAACCTGGAAAACAATATCCAAAAGATCATAATCAACGTTAAAAGGAACAATGATTATGATCTGTTGGATATTGTTTTCCAGGTTGTGAAAGCTTGGTTAACTAAAAAGAGTACTTCTTTGTCCCATCTTCCGCTGCACACCCAAATATTGGAGTATTGTATATATATATATATATATATATATATATATATATATATATATATATATATATATATATATATATTATCTTTTATACAGTAGGTGTAAGACGTCTTCGACTTGGATGCCTTCGTCCGGTTCGAAAGCCTTTGTCAGGTATATTAAACATAGATATGCTGGTTTATTGTACTCGATGGCCATTTCTGTGATTTGTCATTCATTCAAACAACATTGTTTCAAACTAAAGGGCAAACTGACAGCCAGGAACAATATTATTCGCAAGCTTGTAAACCAAAAATTGTGCGCACATACTTCCACCCTTAGAACGTTGACGCTTTTCCTCTGTATTTGTACTGCCGAATAAGCATCGCAAAGATGTGGAACGAGAGAAACAAACTCTAGATTTGCCATATCCACTACACGATTACCACCCTACCGCACGAAGACTCAAATCGAAAAAATCATTCTGGCCAGATTAACACATATGCAAAATACACAAAAAAAAAAACTAGTCTTGTTTATTAAGAGCGAGCTGTTCCTCGCCATCTATATCCGTGGGAGGAACTTTGGTCTAATAGCCATTTTTCTTACTCGGTGAGTCGAAGTGTCCAATTTTAAAACCAACATGGAGAAATGGGGACTGTTATCTGCCTACTCCTATTATATGTAAATGTGGAAGCGGTACAAGATTCAACACATCTACTTAGTTATCCTCCTAGTGTTACCAGATTCTACTAAATTCTACCGAAGAATTTGCGACGCAGTGTATTTAACAAAATAAGTCCAGCTTCTTTAATTTTTCTGTTTCCTTCAGGACTATAGATGAATCATTCCATTGCATTCTATGTTAATTTTCCCATGCGTGTTTACATATTTGAGATCTATTAAATTATTTATTTTTTATATTATAAGATTGATGTTCACTTATTCTAACATGGTACTGATGTTTCACCCAAAAGTTTTTTTTTACAAAGTATTGTAATAATACAATTATTGGTTCTTTGTAAGTGTTGCTTTCCTATCCACATAAGTCTCAATGCAGTACCCTTCTTCTTCTTCTTCGGGTTCATTCTCCTAGCGGAGGTTGGAAATCATCATCGCTATTTTAACTTTGTTGGCCGCATTTCTGAATAATTCTAATGAGCTGCAGCCGAACCACTCTCTCAAATTTCTTAGCCAGGACATTTTGCGTCGTCCTGGGTTTCTCTTCCCTTGTATCTTCTCTTGCATAATCAACCTCAGTAATACGTACTTCTCACCCCTCATTAAATGTCCCAGATATTGAATCTTTCTAATTTCAGTAGTAGTACCCTTCATTGAGATTCAAATATCCAGGAAAGGTAGTCTCTTATTGTATTCCTTTTCCAAGGTAAATTTTATCGACTCTTACGTAGCGTTTATATTCATTAGGAATATGTTTGTATTTAGCAGTATCTTGACCAAATATATAAAAACAATCAAGTACTTAACCTAGAATAAGGATAAAACAAACTACGTACTTACCTATGTTTGTGAAATATCATAGCTATCAAACTAGTATTTACAGAAAATATAATTATATATTCTGATACATCTAACGCCCAATTATAAGCAGGTACATTATCGAGGAACACATCTGGAAGAGGTCCGTAGACCTCTTTATCGGGTACACGTTCGTGTACTAGACTGAGTGAAGTGAGGGTTAAAACAAAACTAAAAAACATTACTATTGCAGCTAAAACAAAAAAAATACTTTAGTGTATATTTCTCAAATCAAGTAAAATAAAATTAATTAAAATAATGGTAAATATTGTATAAGTTGGTTCGTGTTGGAAAAGGGAAAAGTAGAAGAAAAAACAACCCTAACACGCAGCAAAAAATATGTTAAAATTAACCAACAAACTAAACAGTGCCGACATGGGAACTAGATGAAAAGATGGGAACTAGAGGAAGACGATATTGACAATGAAGATAGTCATTAAACTGCTAACAAGAAAATTTTACCAAGTTATACACGGTGTTTCACGTAGAAGAGATATTAGATATCTAAAAAGAATCAAGAGTTGAGTAAATGAGTTATGTTCTTGTAAATACTATTAGCGTTTCGTATGTCTTAGGTCAGTTAACACAACACTGTAAGCTGAATAGGCAGTTTAAGCTGATGATATTGACAGAAGGATGACCTATGCAGATTTTATCAGCTAGAAGAAAAAACAGTAGAGAGCTTTTTATGTACGACAGCTCGAAAATTGTGGTTCTTTGCATTAGGCGAAGAAAACCACTGGCCAAAAGAACTACATGGCCTGAAACAAATCACCCGGAATTGATAATCTCTCAGCTGAACTATATAAAGAATGTGGTCATGATACCATAATGGCATTACAGCAGCTGATAAAAGAAATATGGACACAGAAATCCCTCCTCAATGATTGGAATATTGGAATACTTTGCACTATACACAAAAAAGGAGATATCTTTGAATGCTCTAACCACAGAGAAATTACGCTTCTAAATGCAGCGTATAAAATATTTTCCACAGTACTATGTCATCGTATGGCACCATATGCAGAACGGATAGTAGGAAAATACCAGGCTGGTTTCAGAGGTGGTAAATCGACAATTCATCAGACTGCAACCCTGAAACAAATTTTGGAAAAAACACAGAAGTTAAAACACTTCACACATGTGTATTGTGGTATAAAAACAAACAAATATTTAAAACTTTATAAAAGTGTCGTCAACATTTAAATTCTGGCAGAACGTTTTCAATCTGAACAGATCATCCTCAGTGCCTTGTGTATTTGTTGCTAACAGTAAAGTTGTCTATAAGACCTCCATGTATGGATTTACAGTATTCCAAATTTTACATTTAATAATGTTTTGACTCCAGGTCGATGACAATGGATATATTTTTAAAATTACTTTAGGGACTACATGTCTCCCTGCTCGAATATTAGCACGTGGTACTTGTCAGTTGAAACGACACAGACCAACTGGCTGAGGTGACAGGAAATAATTTAAAGACAGCTGAACGTGACTAGATGTCAATATGTTCCGAAATTAATGTAATTTTTATTTGTGAAATTATAAAATTTATTTACTTGTAGTAATAACTAATATCTTATTAATGAACCTGTATTTAAAAATTAGATTTGTTTAAATGATAAAATTTATTGTCTAGATCAGTAAATCTCTATTATTGAAAAAAGAATGAACTATCAATTTAATGGGATTAATGTTTGAGGTTGAATTTATGACATCATAAGTGGTGAGAAAATGATAAAGGTAGAAAATGAAAGGTATTGATGTGGTACTATACAAATGAAAGTGTATGAAGTGTATAAAAATTATTATAAACTGAATAATTAAGTTGAAATCCAATGAAATGAAAGTGAAAGTTATTTTTGATTGTGTAATGGTGGTTGCCTAGCAACGGTAAAAGACCTGTGTAAATTTCTGGGAGTTGAAAAAATTTATTTTAATTAGTAAAATGAATATTCTATTGAAAGTTATATGAGATATGATAACAGAATATGATATTCTAGCTATTATTGTATTGTAGTTATGATAGTGATGTATAGTAGTAAATATAATATATAATATATATATATATATATATATATATATAATATATATATATATATATATGAAGCTGAGAATGAGTGAATGAAAATTAATATAGGAGAGGAAATGTAAACTGTTAGATATGTGTGAATATGTATCAGAGAAAAAAATGAAATAATAGAGACTATATGTAGAGTTGGCTGTAAGAAGATTAAATTGACTGCATATCTGAGTTGATTGAGTGAAATATGAATTATAAGTGGTAGTGGGGTCCACAGACCGAAAGTGTCGAAGGGATGTGTGATGATAACAGATGGAGTATGATTGTGGTTATGGAGTTTAAGTTTAAAGTTAATGATTGAAGTTAATAATGAAGAATAATATTGAAAAAGGTAACAAGACAAGTAAGGAGACCCCAAGAAGTGAGAGACATGAGGAGAGAAGATGTGAAAAAGTCAAAAGAAGAGTCACAAAAGAACTGGCAAAAGGATGACAAAAAGAAAGAAACTGTCATGGGATAAGATGGTATCAAAGGAAGTCGTATGATGAATAGAAAGCCAGAAAATGAGGGGGTGGGAAATTAATTGGTATGTGTCATGGAATGGGTAAGAAACTGTCATGGGATAAGATGGTATAAGAGGAAGTAGTATAATGAATAGAAAAACTGAAAGTAAGGGGTGGAAAATTGTTAGGTATGGTATATGTTAGTGGGTGATTAATAAGGAAGTTGTAAAATGTTAGATGCTAGTAGGGTGGTTGGGAAAAGAGAAAAAAGAAGAAGATAAGTAAAAGATGAAATTTAGATGCAATTATTGGAATGTTGATTAAAATTAAGGGAATAATTGTCGGTGTATAGGAGTAAAAGGTCTATTAAGGGTAGTTTGGCGGTTAACACAATTGGGGCTAGTCCTCATGTCTCTAGATATCTCAAGGTCCTAATACAGGTCCAAACGTAAAGTATTTTTATCTTGGATATTATGAATTAATTTGACACCATCAGGGATGTTAAAATGATGATTGTTGACTTTAAGGTGATGGGAGAAAGCTGATGTATTATCTCTTTTAGAGTGTTCTGCAGATCTGGTTGAAAGTGACCTAAAAGTCCTGCCAATGTAGGAGGCATCGCAATCAGAACAAGTCAGTCTGTAAACTCCACTACGGTTCATGTAAGGTATTGGATCTTTAGTATTTGTCAACAAGTGGTTAAGAGTATTTCCAACTTTGAAAGATATGTGTAAGTTTTCTGATGAGTTAATGATAATACGTTTAATGTTTTCAGATAGTTTGGGAGTGTGAAATGGTAAAGACCTGTAAATTGAAGTAGAAGAGGAAGATTGATTAAAAGCAGAATTTTGAAGCAACCTAGATTCTCTTTTGTGGATGAGTTTATCTATTATAAAAGGATCATAACCATTGTTGACAGCTATCTGTTTTATGATGTTGAGTTCTTTATTAAAGAGTCAGTAGACATAGGTATTGAATATAGTCTATGGATGAAACTTCTGAAAGCAGCTAATTTATGTGCTAGTGGGTGATATGGATTTTTCCCATTAATTTTAAATTTGGAAAAATCACTGGAATATGGCATTGATACTCATCACATATTTATAGACTTCAAAGCAGCCTAGACTCTGTGAATAGAAGAGAAATGTTCAAAACAATGAAAGAGCTAGGAATACCAAATCAGTTGGCAAATTTAACAAAACTAACTCTTGAAAAAGTTGAATGTAGAGTACGAATTCAGGGGGAACTGTCTGAACCTTTAAAACAAATAACGGGCTGCGCCAGGGAGACCCTCTCTCCTGTATACTGTTCAATCTGGCTCTGGAAAAAGTAATACGTATGTCACAAATCACAACCACTGGTTCAATATATAATAAATCAGTGCAAATCCTGGCCTATGCTGATGATATCAATATAGTTGGGAGAACGGAAAACGCTGTACGAGAGGCGTATGTAGCATTAAAAGAATCAGCTACAAAAATGGGTTTAATAATAAATACCAACAAAACGAAGTATATGAAAATAAGCACGCAAACACAACTACTACGACCACTTATTATTTGTATACCTGGGAGTGCTCCTTAACACTAAAAATAATACCACATAAATAAACCGGAGAATTTGCATGGCAAACAGATGCTATTTTGGGCTCAATCTCCTCCCTAAATCCAGAATTATATCGAGATATGTATACAAAAATAAAACTCTACAAAACAATAATACGTCCAGTTCTAACATATGGTTCAGAAACCTGGACTCTAACAAAAAATATTGCAAAACATTATTTATGGCGAATTCATGGAGCAGTGAATGACAATGGAGTGTGTAGAGACGACACAACGTCGAACTTTATAGAATATATCAGAAACCTGATATCGTAAAACATGATAGGACGTCTTTAATGACCCAGCTAAAAATGCTCCTTGATAGACCCATTGGTCAGATAAGAAAAGGAAGACGTAGAACAAGGTACCTTGATAACATCGATGAAGACATGAGAAATATGGGAATACGTGCTTGGCGGAGAAAGGCGATGGATAGGGACGACTGGAGAGAAATTCTTGAGGAGGCTAGGACCCACGTCGAGTTGTAAAGCCAGAATGATGATGAAGAGCTACATGGAAAGTTCAGTCTCAAAGGTTTACTTTTTAAAAATTGTCAGGCTAGAGAATGTAATCTAGGGTTCTTCTTCTTAGAGTGCCGTCTCCCTACGGAGGTTGGCAATCATAATGGCTATTTTTATTTTAGAACTTGCTGCTCTAAACAAATCAATCGATCTGCATTGGTACCAATCACGTAGATTCTTTAACCATGAGTTCTGCCTTCGGCCAACAGATCTTCTTCCTTGAATCTTTCCCTGTATTATCAGTCTCAAAATTTCATATTTTGGTCCCCTCATCACGTGGCCTAGGTATTCCAGTTTTCTGGTTTGTATAGTGGTGATTAGTTCTGTTTCTTTACCAACCCTCTCCAGTACTTCTTTATTTGTAATTCTATCAGTCCATGATATTTTCAATACTCTGCGGTATAACCAGAGTTCGAAGGCCTCGATTCTTTTTAAATTACATTTTTTTAATGTCCAAGTCTCAGCTCCATATAATAATATTGAAAATATATAACAGCGAATGGTACGTAGTCTGATCTCCAAATTTAGATTTTTGCACGTTAGGAGTGGCTTCATTCGTATAAATGCTGATCTGGCAATCTCTATTCGTCTGTTTATTTCTACAGTATGATCATTGGTTTCATTGATCAAAGTTCCCAAATACTGATATTTTTCTACTTGTTCTATCACGTTACCATTTATTGTCAATAGGTGATGTATATTTTGTGGCCTTTTTGTAATCAGCATGTACTTCGTTTTTTTGGCGTTTATAGTAATTCCCATCTCAGCACTATTTATACTCAAGCTTTCGATAAGATGTTGTAGATCCTCTATACTCGTTGCTATGATCACAGTGTCGTCTGCATATCTTAAATTATTAATTAATTTTCCGTTAACGGTGACTCCCGCTTCGATATTATTGAGCGTGTTTTGGAAAATTTCTTCAGAATATAAGTTAAACAAAAGTGGTGATAACACACATCCCTGTCTAACTCCTCTACAGATCTTCATTTCATTCAATCTAGGTTAGAGGACCACAATAGATCTGAACTAGGCCAAAATCCACCTCATTAAATCTATCTATATATCTATCAACCTATCTTCGTACATCGAAAGTTACTATTTGTGAAGTTAGTTGTTGAGTTAGATGTGGTTTAAGATTGACGTTTAGTCTCATTTATTGTCAAACTAAACAAAGACTACTAAGAAAAAAATTAGTATTTGAAAACTGTCCAACTTATGTTGGTGGTGACCAGCCGTGTTATTTGTTAGCTTAGTTATGTCAAGATCAATTATTTAAATATTTTTTATACATCTCAAGATAATTAATTGTAGCTACCTAATACAAAAAAAAATGCCGTGGCCGGTCTAGCTTTCGTGGAGGAGGAGCTCTGAACTGAGTAGGGGCTCTTCTGTACTTCACGGAAGACAGACTGGGCGGGGGATGTCCTCAACCTCGACACGGCACGTCCCATATGGCTGATAGGGAAAGTTCCTGCAGATATGCAGGACAGGTACGAATAAGGCATTGCCAAATAAGTACCCGCGGATCAACTGAGGATATGACATTAGGCAGCAGTAATGTCATTACTGGATTAAGGCTGTGGGAAGTAAAAATCCTGTAGGTTTATTCCAGATACTCACAGGCGTCACTCACATTATGAGTTAAGCGGCTGTGATACTGCGATGGGGAAGGCAACGGGAAACCACCCCATTATGATCCCTAGTAAAGTTATCATGGAATCAATGAGTGTAACGAATACTACTGATCATGGGCTGCGGAACTCAAGATCCGGCAGGGGAAGGAATACACAATCAAACCACAGGGCTTCCCAGGTCGCTAGCCAGCGAAATCCCTGTGAGGAAAACATCACTAGACATACGATGAAAATGAAGAATCCATACAAAGTGGCTACATGGAATGTAACAACCTTATATGAAGCCGGTAAGTTGAGAAATCTACTCTCTGAAATGGACAGATTAAACATTACTATCATGGGGGCGAGTGAAACAAGATGGCCAAACAAAGGGAATTTCAGTGCAAATGGTTACGCCGTTTATTTTTCTGGAAATCAAGACCATATGCATCGAAATGGAGTAGCAATAATTATCAAACAGCATATTAATAAGTATGTCACTAACTTCATCCCAATATCAGACAGAGTAATTTTAATACAGCTGAATGCTAAACCTGTAAATATAAATATCATCCAAGTTTATGCTCCCACTGCTGACGCAGATGAGCAGAATATTGAAGAATTCTACCATCAAATAGAAGAAGTGCTAAAAATAACAAAGAAACACGAAGCAATAATAATTATGGGTGACTTTAACGCTAAAGTTGGACAGAAGATGACGCAGGGCATCACCGGAAAGTTTGGCTTGGGAGAGAGAAATCAAAGAGGTGAACGGCTAATAGAATTCTGCCAAGAAAATGACTTCGCCATTACAAATACCTGGTTTCAACTTCCAGAAAGGCGTCTTTACACGTGGAAATCCCCTCAAGATGGACATCAAGGCAGAATAGTACGGAATCAAATAGACTACATCCTAATAAACCACCGATTTCGAAACAATATTAAAGATGTAAAAACTTACCCCGGCGCTGACATAAACTCAAATCACAATTTACTCTGCTCCAAAATACAAATTAAATTGAAGAAATTAACAAAGCCAACTAAGCCTTGTAAGATATATCTCGACCCCCTGAAAAACCCTCAAACGCGCGAACACATAACACAGCAAATAAATAGTAAAATACACAGAATATCAAATATACCAAACGAAAACAGAACCATTAACGAATGCTGGTATGCCATTCAAAACTCGATTTTAGAGAACGTACAAGAGTCTTTGAAAACACCTACCATGTTGGCAAAAAATGAGTGGATGACACAAGAAATTCTAGATCTGATGGAAGTTCGACGGCAACACAAAAATAGAAATATTATCGAATATCGTGAAATTAATAAACGCATAAAAAGAAAAATTAAGCAAGCCAAAGAATCCTGGCTTGAGAATTTATGTAAAGAAATAGAAGACCTCCAAAAAAAGCATGACAGCTTCAACCTGCATAAGAAACTTAAATATACTGCCGGAATTAGAAAACAGAAAAATGCTCACATACTTAAAAGCGCGGACGGAAAAATTTGTGATCACGAACAACAGTGCAAAGAATGGGAGAGATACATCACTGACCTTTTTGACGATGCTTCTAGGGAAAATGCTCCAAATACTGCCTATGACAACCAGTTGGACAGAGGTCCCAATATACTGAATTCGGAAGTCGAAAAGGCAATACAGCAAGCCAAAAACAATAAAGCACCTGGACCAGATCAAATCCCTGCCGAACTACTTAAACTTTTGGATGAGGAAAGCATTGCCTGCTTAACCACTTTCTTCAACAAAATTTACAACGAAGGAAAAATACCAGATGATTGGTTAGAGTCACTGTTTATAACATTACCAAAGAAAAGCAGGCCCACCAAATGCAGCGATTTTAGACTAATCAGTTTGATGAGTCACACACTGAAGATACTCTTACGAATTATACAAAACCGAGTATTCCTTCTATGCGAAAGTAAGATGGGTGATAAGCAATTTGGATTTAGAAACGGTCTAGGAACTAGAGAGGCACTATTCTGTATGCGCGTTCTATTACAAAAAAGTTGTGAATTCCGAAAGAATGTTTATGTTTGTTTCATCGACTTCGAGAAGGCGTTCGACAGAGTCCAACACAATACACTTTTCGACTGCCTACGGGCAGCAGGACTTGACCACTATGATATAAGACTGCTGAAATACTTATATTACAATCAAGTAGCCTCTATCCAAATTGGAGACAGTCCCACTGAAAAAATACCCATCAAACGTGGAGTACGGCAGGGTTGTGTTTTGTCACCCACTCTTTTTAATCTGTACTCTGAAGAAATCTTTAGGGAGGCTTTGGATGACAGACAAGAGGGAGTAAGACTAGGTGGAGAAGTAATCAACAATATTAGATACGCTGACGATACAGCCATTCTTGCAGAAAGTTTACAAGATCTCCAAACATTACTAAATCTAGTCAGTGAAGCAAGTTATCGGAGAGGCCTAAAAATCAACATTTCAAAGACAAAGTGGATGGCAGTTGGAAAGATCCATATAGATCAAGGTCTGCTTTCTCTTAATGGAGAAGAGATAGAAAGGGTAAATCATTTCAAATACCTTGGCAGCTGGTTAAATGTAAATTGTGACTCTGATGAAGAGATAATATCCAGGATCGAAATATCACGTAAGGCTTTTATGACCTGGAAACCAGTTTTATGCAACAGAAACCTGTCAATGAACATTCGTAAGAAGGTCCTGAAATGTTATGTGTGGTCGATCCTATTGTATGGTTGTGAGACATGGACGTTAAAAACCACAATGCTAAACAAGTTAGAAGCATTCGAAATGTGGTGCTATAGACGAATCCTAAAGATATCGTGGGTTTCGCACACTTCCAATGAAGATGTTCTTCAAATGATCAACTCAGAACGTCTGCTCATAAACATCATAAAGAGGAGAAAAACAGAATACTTCGGCCATATAATTAGAGGACCCAAATACCATTTACTTCGCCTTATAATACAAGGAAAAGTGGAAGGAAAGAGATGGATTGGTCGAAAGAAACTTTCATGGCTGCGTAATATTAGACAATGGTGTGGTTTCACAGTAGAAGAATTATTTCGCGCAGCAGCCGACAGAGAAAGGTTTCAGGAAATTGTAAACATGATGACGGCCAACGTCTGAATACGGACACGGCACCCAAAGAAGAAGAATACATTGTTATTATTCAAATAAGATAACGTTACTCAAATCAAGAAGTTGTATATTTTTGTCAAAGCAATCGTTATCGGTTGCGGAGACTGGTCGTTGTAGGAACAAAAGTTCAAATAATGAACTGAAACTATTAACAGATTGAATTGAAAAAATAATATAATTCTCCTGAATGGTCTTAAGGAGATGACTTATACTTACTAAAAAGGAAAAAGGGCGTTAAAGGAATATGTGATATGATTAGGTCTTTCAAACTAGAAATAATGTACTACTAAACTCATAAAAAGTCACAGAATACTTACCTAATAACGTCTTGCATCTCTCTTGTGGAAACCTTGGCTCCTCCCTTACAGGAGGCGGCAAATCTATGGATATATGTCCGTTTCGCTCACTACTTTTTTGTACAATTTCTTCTTCTTCGTCATAATATTCGTTACTGTTCGTGCTATGCGCACTGTGCCCCCATTTGTCGCTCTTATTCGGGTTCGGTAGTAATGGTTGTCTCTGGTAGAGGTCTCCTAAAAAAAAAAAAGAATGTAAATGTAAGAAGTAAAATATTATTGGTTGGTCCTTTGCTATGGGAAGAGTCGGAAGAATAAAAAAACATATATACCATTTTTCAAAGTAAAACACTTGCACGTCACGATTTATACAAAGTGACATCACTTTTATTTAAAATTTCCAGAACATCAACCTTAGAGTTAAATTTTCCTAACACAGCTAATAATACGAAACCCATACGGAACTGCTCGATCTTTCATAGGCGTCCACATGGTGTAATAATCAGAAAAATGTAATCATCATTATATTGTAAATTTTAGAATTATATTAATTAAATAACTAAAAACATTTGTTATTATTAATAATATAAATTTTATTTTAAGTCTAATATTCCACAAAATAATAATGTTAATTAAATATATTAGACAATTGTACGCAACTGATACGGAAATACTTCAAATCTTATTGACAGTTCAGCGTGGCAAAAGTGTATAAAGTGTTGCCGCTTTTTTAGAGTAGGAATTTTGTTTATGTTTTGATTTCTTACACAATTTGATCATAATTTAATATATATTAATAATTTGTATTTATAAATATATATTAAATTTAGTTTAAGAGCTTTAAAAATTAATTATTGTTGTGTATTGTAATTGTGATATGCCAAAACAAATAAATAGTCTGTAGAAAGCTGATAAGCTTTCGTATAAAATAGATTATTTTGAACAACAAATAATGGCGGGACGTTTTTACTATTAAAGCCCTAAAAAAGGTAAGTTTAAAATTTAGAATATATAATTTTGTATTAAAATGTTTTCCTATGTATTTTAATGTGTTGCAGTAGTTATAAAGCTAGGTGTATTTACCGTTAATATAATAGTTTGACAAATAGTTGACATTTTAAAAATTCCTCACTTACTAACTATTCCGAGGTTTTGGCAACGCTGTGGGGTTCTGACGACGTAAATCTTAAATGACGTGCAAGCTTTTTATACGAAAAATGCTATACATAAGAAACAGTGAGTAATACCAACAGTTCAACCTGATGTTTGGCAATGCTCATTAGAATTTGTTAAAATACCGAAAACGTCATTTTTATTCCGTTTATTTTAGAGGGTCCATTTGAACGATATAGACATCTGTCATTTATCAACTCTGTCTATATTAACTAATTTTTGTGAAAAAGTTTTAATTTATTGAAAGGGTTACACATTTTAAAAATTAAACGCAAAGACTATGTTTCGATGTGTCAATTTTTTTTAAATCAAAAACTACATATCTTTGGACAACTTTTGACGTCTTTTCTCAATTATTTTTTGTCGTACGGTCAGTAAAACCGGGTACACATGCCAGTAAATTGGAAAAGTAACTGGCATGCCAGTTGCTGGCCTAGGTCAGTAACTGGCAAGCACAAAACACATTTACTAGTAATTGGCATGCCAGTAGCTCGCTTGAATATACTGATAAGGCAAAAAAGCAGCGTAGATTTTTACACATGCCAGTGCTAGTAAACATTCAAGTGGTTTTCATCTGAGACTAAAGTAGGTACTTGTTTTGTAATTAAAAGTTTTTGAGTTTTCAACAAAAAAAAAGTGATCCATGGAAGGTATTCGGAATGAATTCAACAAGCAAAGATTGCTGATGACTACGGATATTGTTAGAAATTTAATAATGAATCCGAAGCGGAACTCAAAAAAGATAAAAATTTGAGTGAGAAATTGGATTTGTAGGCGACAAAATCTTGGAGCAAGTGCTTGTTTACTTGAGATGAGACTTGAAGACCTTCACCCATTTCCTCTTGAATTTTTGTGTAAGCAGTGGGGCTATTTTATTTTTATATAGAGATGATTCAGATCTCCAAAGATACTCCAATTCTCTATATATAGCAATAAATTTAATGGTTTTTTCATTACCCCAACGAAATATTTTTTAAATTAACAAGTTTAAAAATAAAACGATTAATTTTTATCACCAACACACCAAATTTGATAATGCTCTGGTAGTTACTGGCATGCCCTTAGCGATAGCGCGCCTTCACACATGCCAGTGACACGCCAGTCACGCTTGCCACTTGCATCTCGCAGCATGCTACTAGCAATTAAAATCAAATTCTTTGCGATTAGCTAGCATGTGAGTAACTAGCATGCCCGTTAACGTACACACCTGCCAATTTGGGGACAGTAGCTGGTGCTTGCTAGGGACTGGTATGCCATTGTGCTAGTAGCAGGCATGTGTATCTCCGGTTTAATGTTAAATAGTAATTCTCGTCGATTATTCCTTGACCAGTAAAAAAAAATAAATAAATAAAGCAAGAACTTTTCCAGCACAATTTTTGAAAACGAAATTTCTTAGAATTTCTCTGGAGAACCATTCCGTCATTCATAGTGGCAACACAGCTTATCATGTTTGCATCTCATCCAAACCAGGCACAGATCAACACTATGCTTCACTTCAGATATTCGATGGTCTGATAAAATCATGGCATAAACTGTATCGGTTTCTACGGGGATGGAGACAGAAGCTGGCCTTCCCGATTGGCCTTTATTTCCAATGGAAAATTTACCTCTTGTAAAGCTTGCAATCCAATTTTTCACGGTCGTTTACGAAAAACATTGATCGCCAAAGAATCTTCGTAAATCTGCTTATCTCATAACCACTTGTTGATGGTCACGAACATGTTCAGTAATTAATTAATGATAATACTACCCGTTGAAGAAAATGAACTTTTCCAAGTTTCTGCGATAAATATGAACCAGAATTTAGCGATTCGTTTTAGGGCGCTAAAAAAAATTATTGATCTGTATCTCGAGCTTTTTCAGCATGAGACTTCATAAATGTGAGTTCCGAGAGATTTATTTGGGCATGTTGGTAAAACTCCAAATTTTTCTATAAAGCAATGGTTAAAAAATATCTTATACTTTATATTGTAATAGGAACTAATCGTGACGCCTGCCAAAAGAAGGCAGCTAAAAAAGATGGATATAGTCTAGTAAACAAAAAATGAAATTAGTCATCCAAAATCACGCTTCGCAACTAGTCGACAATAGTCGAAATCATGTGTCAATCATGAATTCTAGGAAATTTAGAATTCCATCATTGGCAGCGCGTAAGAAAATATGTTTCGTTGATGGTCACTTTACATGGTAACAATAGAATATTATATTTCTGCTTGTAATAATACAAAAAATACAATACCTAGATTTAGTTTATAAAATAAGTTTTTTTGAATCCTATTGTTACAATATACAATCCTTCCTGCAATTGATCCTCCATATTCGGCAATAAATAGATCGAAAGGCAATAAAGGCAGAAACATCATGAAAGAACCAGCTGAAGAATTACTAGGCATGACTGGTTTTGCCATAGAAATAACTGGTTTGACGAATAATGTCAGATTGTAACACAAAGAAAAAACAGAGCATATTCTTTGAACTTTATAGAATATACTAGGAACCTGATATCGTAAAACAATATTAAGATAGGACGTCTGAGGTGGATAGGGCATGTAATGCAAAACAAAATGACCCAGCTAGAAAAATGCTCATTGATAGACCCGTTGGTCAAAGAAAAAGAGGAAGACCCAGAACAAGGTTCCTTGATAACATCGACGAAGACATGAGAAATATGGGAACACGTGCTTGGCGAAGGAAGGCGATGGACTGGAGAGAAATTCTTGAGGAGGCTAGGACCCACGCAGGGTTGATGATGATAACATTGCATCAATAATTCAAGTTTGTCTCGTATCAATTTGTTACGAAAATTTCATGTAATTAGTAAATAAATTATTTTATCTGTTAAAACGATACAAAAGAAAATAAAAACTAGAACGTTAAACAAGTTCAATATTAAAACAAATAATATAAGCAATTTACAACAGGAAGCCGAGGCATTGGACATTGGGTCTGTGGGGAAATTGAGAAAAACATTTCTGAATATTTACCTCTCTACACAATCACCAAAGTGATACAAAAATACATAAACTAATTGAAATACCAAATAACCATCACACTTTAAAATTGCAAGTCTTAAAGATATGTATTTATATTTGAATGTCAATACCAATAATAAAAATTAATGCCCCGCAATAGATGATTTTGATTTGCTTATTCTACGTGTTGCTTCCTTATTTCAGTAAAATAGTAATTATAATTATATATTTATAACCAGCAGGAAAAAATTTAATGTTTTATGTTGATAATTATTATCCTTTTATAACCACGTTGTCGGGATTCGTTATTTATTCATGTTCATACCGAACAATGCAATTTTATCGATTTAAAACTGAATAACTAAAGTATGTCCTATGACATCAATAACACAGTCAGATATTATTTATAGATATTTAATGTAAAACATTAATAATAGCAAAAGCAATGAAAATAATTAATTTTTTAGGAAGTTCAATAATTGTAAGTAACAAAAAAAATTAAAAGGGTAATATTAAAAAAAATATTGTGTTACGGATTATTATATTATGGATTTAACCCTTTAACGCTCACACTATTTTCTAATAGTAGAATGCTTAGACGCTACGTACGTAGCCACCCACGTTAAGGTCGAAAGCGACTTCAATACAGTATTGTACGAATTAATGGAATCACTGTGAATTTTTTTTCATTTTTTCAATATTCACAAGAAAATGTTTTGGGGATGTTTTTTATACATGGGAGTTGGATCTTTGGTGCCAATTGAAGGCATGATGAACAGCCAAAAATACAAATCCATGTTGGAAAAGTATTTGGACAAACAACTCCAAAAATGTCAACCCCAAGGAGGAGCGATTCTTCAACAGGACTCTGCTCCCTGTCACAAATCAAAGGAAATGATGGCATTTTTCAAAAATAAGAAGATTAATGTTTTAGATTGGCCCGGTAATTCGCCCGACCTCAACCCCATTGAAAATTTATGGGCCATTTGCAAAGCTAGACTGCGAAAAATCGACTGTACCACTAAAACAAAAATGATAGAAGCGGCCATTCAGGTTTGGTATCGAGATGAAAGGATATCTGACAACTGCCAG